TGTTTTACTTGCCTGCCTACCTCCCCCCACCACCATTGCCAACCATATTAAAGTTCATTCAGTATAATATCTAACAATTTCCGTGTTTACATTCTGGGACGTGACGTACGTACGAACTTGCGTACATGTGTTGCGTAAATGAGTACGCGCAGACTGTTGAAGGTATGTTAACCAATCAAAAGCGTCAGCGGCAAATCAAATTAAAGCACTTCGTAACCAAGGCACAGCACACACATCCTAGGCAGGGCGTATAAGCCCAGTGAAATAGTTCAGTTTTCTTTGCTATAAAAATCACCTTTCCCGTGGGTATATTTTGGTAAACTTTTTGTATGTTGTAGATATAAAATTTAACTATATATATTCATAAAAAAACGTTTTGTTGCGATTATGTCCAACTTTGGTGCTTCAAATCCGTATTTCTGGTGGACTAAACGTAGTCACTCTTTTTTCACTCGTTACAGAGTGAGCTTATTTTGAGTGAATACGGCAATTCAGACGATATTACCCACCCTTTTAAATTAAATCAAATCAAATCAAACCAAACTTAATTTGTCCATTAAAACACAGGTAAAATGGAAATACTTTTTCCACTGGAAAAGAACATGAAACATCAAAAAGTGTAAGTTACACTTATGGAGTGAAAATTGTTTCACTCCAAATGAAGAGTGATATTTTCACTCTTTAAATAAGAGAGTAGGTATTACGCCATTGATCTTGTGTATGCATTGTAACTTATTTATTGGTTATTTTAACAACAATAGGTCTATACTTCCTTATACTGTAATGTCTATAATAATCATAATGGGCGTATTCGACTGGTTCATTTCGTTGACTACGAATTTTCGTTGGGTATTATTTTCATTCGACTGGTTCGTAAAATAGAATTCGTTGACAACGAAAATTAACGCAAACCAGAGTGCGTTAATAAGCGTTAAGTTATTCACGTGACCAAAAAAATCATGGCCGATTGGTGAGTTTGGAAGCAAAATTTGCGTTGATATAATTTAGATTAAATTTAAGAAAATAAAAATTATAATATTTACCCACATAAAGTCAAAAAATAATTGTAGGCTAACAGAATTTAAAGACTGGATGAAAATATTTTTTTTTGACCATCCAAGATGCTAAGCACCATCATTTGCAATTGCACCCTCAATTTACTCAGAAAGTTCAGTACAGCTAGTTACCCGTATGTTTGAAGCTCGAGCGTTGCGGTGTTTGGGTGTAATGTACACGATTTTAATTTTCATTCCTTGGTACTTATTTTTGAATAAGATGCTCCACTTGGCCTCATTTTGGCTACAATAATTTAATAATTTATTATTACCATTACTCATTATCATTAATGAAATAATAGTCAGTCAGAAGGCTTATTAATATGTAATAATATGTATACTAAGCCTGAAGGTGGCGCTTTACTACGATGGCCATCTTGGATGTACACGTACATAACTTTGCATTGCTGCGCCATCTTGTCAGCACTCTAGTTGTTTAATAGCTCTATGGTATTCACAAGTTTTCTATTCGACTGGTCGCCTTCGTTAAGTAGGATTTTACCGCTGCGCAGGTGGGCGTAGTTTAACGATGAACGACCAGTCGAATACCGTACTGCAATTGAATTTGTTAATTATTTAATTACTGTAAAAACTCGAATAGAAGCCCTGGGCTTTTTTTTTAGGAACCTCGGATGAGCTTCTTTTCGACATTACTTTTGCAAACTAAAGAAGAGACGGCGGGTATGGAATTCGAAATTCTGTCTAATATTTTTGTTTACACTTTTGACCATGATAATACAATAAAATAATGTTGATACAGACGTGCTATCATAATTAACATCAGTCTAAATGTAATTACTATCTCGAAAAGAAGTCTGATTTGATCTTTAGTTTAATCACAGCTGTGTCACCTACTAGAGGTATGTTTTGATTAGTTAGACACTTTTGGTATTTGTGTATGTAAGCTTGCAAATATGGATAATTTTTCATTCCTAATGATGACATAATTAATGTCGAAAAAATTAATTCAAACACGATGGCGTGCATTTCAATACTTGGAGATTATGCATTCTTATACTTCCTTATGTCTATAATACTGTGACTTTTGTTAATCATATGAATTGATATACAGTACTGTATACAACATATCAATTATGTATATATATATATATATATATATAATATAAATATTGTTAAGGTAGTATATATATATATATATAT